GGAAAACAATCGCAGCTTTGAACAGCGTTTTTCCAGGAAATGACTCCTGGAAATCAACTTTGAACGCGACATAAATTATGCATAATCTTTAGAGAAATTCAGAAAAAAATGTCCATAGTCAGAAAAGCGAAAAAACTTTGGATATTGCTTTAATTGCTTTGAAGGAGCGTACAGTATCTTTCTACAAACGGTTTCGAAACTATAGTTTAAAGGCGCGTACAGAATCTTGTTAAAAATGTTATCGAAACGAGAGTATACTGTAGACAGTAATTTTCTTTTCAACGAGATTTTCTTTTCTTTTTTTTCTTTCCCGTTTGCGGAAAAAAAACAGAAACATGAATTTCAAATTATCTTGGCTGCGCGCGAAAAATGTGTCTTTTCTTGTCTATGTCTCTTTCCCCCATATCGAAGAAAATTTCAGATGTACAATGAAGTTTAGTTCACTGTTACAGGACACTGCTGCCATCGATGTCTTTATCAGTAAATTTTCACAATTTTAAAAAAGAAGAAGAAAATAAAAACATTTCAGAAATTCTTTCTGCTGCAAGCCGACTTAGCAAAAAAAGATGCTGTGTGAAAATTGAGAAAGAAGGTCTTAATAGTACACTGCTGAGTCAAGATCATTTCTAAATGTCTATAGGTCTCAACTTCATCAGCATCTCCGGTCTTCATGATGGCGGTGCGTGGTTCAATCTATGCGTTCCATACAGCAGTCAACTTTTTCGAAAGTTTGTAGGTTTTTTCTGTCATCGTTAGAATACCTAATACCTCAATCACAGGATATGGTTGGAATGAACCCCCGCAACCCAGAACAAAACTTCATTTTTTTCGAGCTCGAAATTGACAGCTTGGTCCGTATTCTACCTGGAGGGCATTGCTATTTGAAGTTAAAGCTTTCAAAAAGTCAAAGTGATGAACCAATTTTATCTGTTGAAGTGAGGAATCCAGAAGCAGATATTGTATCCCACCAAATCCCGATTACAATAGTACTCTCAAAATACTGGAACACATATGCCAGACCAACAATCAAACTTAGAAAGGTTTTCCAATTCAATAATCCGTTTTTAATTGAGCATTTGTAATTCCAGATGTGTATTAGTATGCCACCTCCAAAGGCGATTGCAAGGTTTATCCACGCATTCAGAAACATGAATGCTCGTGTTGTGGTAATCAAACATTTCAAAAGATGTTTCTATTCTTAAAATTCAGAAGTTCACCGCAAGTGTCTCCGGAGATTTAAGAATCTCAACGAAAATTGACCATGGAGAGATTGATGCGTGCTTTTCTGATCTTCAAACCAGCCCATCTGAAACGGATAGTCAGGAAGAAACAGCAAATGTTCAGCTGATGATTAGGAATATTCAATCTCTTTTCCAAAGTTTTGCCCATACCAGATCTCGGGTTAAAATGAGTAAGTATGCAACCTATAAGATTGATCCAAGAATAAGGTTTTAGACATCATCTCAAATAGGATGGCTGAGTTCAACATTCATAATGAAGACTGCGTTCTGTCATTTATTGTTGGAAACGTTTCTGATTAACTGCTTTAAAAAAATTCTGAACCCGTTTATTGCTTTCGTATTGGTCTCAAAGATAAAAATAAAAATCATAATTATGTGTCATCTACATCGTTCGCTTTGAACCTTTGCGAGTCCTCGCTTGGGTGTGACCTAAATCATAAAGTAGCAAATAAAAAAAATAGTTTTATACATTCTCACCTCATATGAGTTCGTACACCTCTCATACTAAACGCTCGATATCCACATACTAAACAAGTAAATGTTTTCGTCGTTTGATGCGAAGATCGGATATGCAATGAGAGCTGCGAGGGTGTAGCTGGCACGAAATCGCACTTTGTGCATTTTTCCGGTACCTACAAATCTCGTTTTTCTTGCTTGGAGAGTCCATGAGAGTCCTCTCTCACACTACGGCCATAATTCAAGATTGCAATCAGAAAAAGACTAGGAGAGATCAGAAACATTGATAAGTCAAGACGTATATTTCGAAGAAAATGGAAAGAAATCAGTCACCTTCCTTGAAAAATCCGTGCGATTTGGTCCGGCATTGGTGGATGATTCACGTACAGTATGACTACAGTATAATTGTCGATGAGCATCATAAGTAGTTTGAGATGAAAAAGACACTCCACAGGTACACGAAAAGGGTCGGTCCGGATAAAAAGGTTCGCTGCTTGAACTTTTGGAAGTTGGAGAACAACTGGGAGATATGGAAGGGATTCTGGCTTCCATAGTAGAAGTAGATGATTCTTTGGCAGTGGATGTGCTCGGAATTCTGAAATAAACAATAATTGAACTTTTTATGTTTAGAAACTCACTTTTCATCGAGGTCCACAACAGGAATGTTAACCGAAAGGGGAAGATTAAAAAGATTCATACTTTGTGGAATATCCAAGTTCAATTTATTTCGAACGAATAAAGGATTTGTGTTGACAAATGCTGATTTGCGGCTAACCGCTACCGGAAGTATCGAATTCAAAGGGCCCATGACCTAAAAATGATAAGGTTAACAAATTGAAATTTTTCGTATTATGCTGGTGTACAAAAATTGGAACTGTGGAAGAGAAACGCCGGTGGACGAAATTCCCACAACTAGGTTACGGTAGTCCCGGTTTTTGTACCAAAACAATGGTAGGGTTACCTGAACTGCATTTTGTTGTAACAAGTCATGATAAGCTAGTGGAAGCAAAATTAGATTCTGGTGGCTTTCTAAGTTTGTATTGTCTATTGGTTTGACGATTGCATCATCCTTTTTAGTACAGTACAACTCTTCGTGTATTTTCAGATTCGGAAGCGAATTGAATTTCGCCATGTGGCATCTAGGACACTCGTATTCTGAATAAGATAATTGAGGAAAACTGATGGATTTCAAATGAAAATTACTTTTTTCTTTTTCAGAAAGTTTTTCCTGTTCCAGTCGGTAATTCATGTCAGCAACTAAAATTGCTCTCAGTGGTTCTGTGGATTCGATGTCTTTTGTGAACAAAATTTGAACATTTTTTCCTGGAACGCAATTCAATCTAATAAATTGATTTTTCAAGAATAGATACTACCTGTTTCTAAAACAACACAATTGGCCAATAAGGGACTTGCAATAGTTTGAATCCGTTTTGTAACCTCATTTTCTTCTATTTCCAATTTCATCATTTCACCAGTGAAGTTGGAAATCTGAAAAAGAAACAATCTGATTAGTATTCTGATATATCCTGATATACCATAATCTTTAAAGACTTTTCGCCAGTGTCCAGTGAGAATGGTCCAGCACAATCTCCACATTTAAAATCAGTTGGCTTAAACTCCATCATTTGAATTTTGAGATTCTGAAAAGAAATAATTTTATGATAATTAAAAAAAAGGAAAATTACTTCTTTAATTGCTTTATGGAGTATTGTTTGATCAGCAGCATTCATCAGTGTTCGTATAGAAGAAGAAGAAGAAGTTGAAAACGAAACAGAAGAAGGAGAAGAAGGAAAAGCAGAAGAAGGAGAAAATGGAGAAGCTCTGAAGAAAGATGTGCTCAAAAGATAAAATCTGTGTGAGGGCGCAGAGCAAGTTGTGAGTGGCTGGGGCCGACTCTTTCATAGATTTAGATGATAAGATGAAAAGGAAGGAGAAGTTGATGTATATTGACTACAAAGAGATTTCAATCAGTTTAGAGAGAAACTAAAACATTCTCATACAATTATACTAGAGACGATTCTATCACTATCTCACTCATGGAAACTTATCAATGTCTATCATAACTCTGTTATCAATTATTTCAAAATGTATCAGAATGCAACAAGGTGTATATTGAAAATGATTCATTTTGTTTGCAACAAAAAAGTATTTCTCTCTGAAAGTGGAAATGTGAAAAGAATTCTTTCCCGGCTTTCAGATTTCTAGTTTTAAAAAATCAAATATTTTTGGTTCTAGTTTCCGGTATGACCCAATCATAAAGTGAATAAACAAAGAGTAACAAGAGAGATACCACTGTATTAGTTATCAGTTATCAGATTTCTCTAATACAAGATTAACATCTCCCAAATCATCTATTGATCGCAATCTGGATTTGGACTACTCATCTGTAAATAGTAAGAAAAAGAAAAAGAAGTGTGAGGAAGAGAGAAAGTGGGGGCAGCTATCAGTTGAATCGAATCAGTTCTGATTAAATTCTTCTTATCAGCGTGCTGATTTGGAGCTGAATACACTTGAATTGATTGTGAGCAGGTCTCTGTTGTCGACATCAAAACATCAGCTGTTAGGAACAAAAAAAAATGTTATACCAAAGTTATGACGTTGCAAGTTGCAAAAAGAAGAAGAAAACGGAAAAGGGTAATAAAATCATAAAAAGAGGTACCGAGAAGAAAATCGGAAATGGTTCAGAAGCCTTTTACTGAATCGAAATGAAGGTTGTTCCCATCTTTCTGATACTTACATCCCTGATTTGTCAATCTGTAAGTGTATTACATTTTTTAAGTTTGTGAAAAAATCTCAGTATTTTTCCAAACAAGGAGATTGAATAATTTTATTGCAGAAGTTCTGCCATTCAGAATATAGATACCGTATTTTCTCTAACAGAAGCTCACCCGAATAGTCCATTTTGAGCTCAATTACCGTAAAACCTCTAATAGAACGACACCCGGGTCGTCCACTTTGAGCCTATATATCTCATTTTCTGTGAAAGATATCAAAAAGTGGCTGACTAGTAAAATGTTGCTGATATCCTGATAAACATTTTACTAGTTTATCATTTTTTGATATCTTTCAAAAGAAGTGAGATATATAGGCTCAAAGTGGGACAATCCGGGTGTCGTTCTATTAGAGGTTTTACGGTATCTTGATTTCTGGGGAAGATAGCAACAATTTGTCAACTAATGAATTTATCATAGTATCAACAATATTTAATCAGTTGACAAAATTTTAGATATCTTCTATAAGATTAAATACGGTATCTATCATCTGACTAGGGAATCATGTAACTGAGTATAGAACATTGATATGAGACCTGTATCATTAGAAAGCTAGGAATGCGACATTTTCAAATAAATATTCTGATTTTGCTGCGGACGTATTTGAGAAAAAGGGGACCGGATCTCGGCAGCCGTCAGAATATTCAAATTTCAGTCAAAGTTGAAACCCAATTTTCTCTAATCTGGTATGTCCGCAGAAAATTCGAAATGTTTATTTGCAAGTTTCGCATCCTAAGCTTTCAAATGGTATAGGTCTCATATCAAAGTTCCAAGCCCCAGTCACCACATTCCCTAGTCAGAAAACACATTAGGTTGATAAGAAAGTTTCTTTCTTTTTTGGCAAAACTTTTGATCAAATTTTTCTCAATGCGGAGGGAGCTAGATCAATGAAAATAACGTCCATTAGCATCAATAGTTGTCTGGCAACGCTCCGGTAATTTCTTGATTCCATCGGCCCAGAACGAGGAAGGCTGCGATTGAAATAGTGGGACTACTCCTTTTTTGTGCCATTTTTTCACTTGAAGTATTCTCTATCATGATGACGTTTAAGAGCTCCAAAATATTACTTTTCCTGAAGGGCAAGGTCCGGAGAATACGATGAGTGCAAAATAACATTTCAGCCAAAGGTCATGAATTTATGGCTGATCCCTCTATTCACAAGCGATCTCGCATTGCCGCACTGGAAGCAAACTTTGGTTTTTTCTCCTCGTTTGATTAGACTGTCAAGTTCATATTTTCTAATTATGAACTAAACAAGGTGGCAGTTATAGTGGTACCTTCAACTAAAACTTCCCAGTGTCCATTACTTTGACCGACCATCAAACTTATAGCATATTTTTAAGGAAAATTTAGGTTCTTGGACGTCCAGAGCTAGCTATTTCTTGGCAATCAACTGACCCTTCCGCACATTGACAGAGTAACTTACGCACTTATCATCTACTGTAATGACATCATCCAGCCATTTGAACGTGCGAAGAAATGATAGGTGAAACATACCCATGTCTACATGACGAAACATATTGTAGTCCGGAAAAACGCGGTGTACGAATCAACCCAGATTTTGACTTTGCCAAGAGACTTCGATCCGGTCACAATACTTGGTTGACTAGAGGGCAATGCCTGTGACATTTTACAAATGGTTTGAAATGGATGCACCTCCCCGGTTTTTAGCAATTGATGAAGATCCGACTCACTAGGCCGTTGGCATCTTTCAAACTGAACTCTCTTGTTTGGAATTCTTCAAACAAAAGGCAAATTGTAGACGATGACGGAACATGTCCCTTATATACATCCACAATTTTCTTCCAAATACCAGCTGTTTGAAGACCGAATAAAAATAAAAATATAATCAAGTTGCCAATGGGCAGTCGGATAAGGACTAAAAGAATCGCCATTTCTTCCACACGAAGAGAGATGAAAATTTGAAAATCTAGGATCTAATAGCCACTGAACACAGCTCTCTAACAAAAAAAAATTTGGCCCGCTAAACCACTTGGAGCGCCAGATATCGATCCTCAAAAACAACTCTGCCAAAAAGAAAGAAACTTTCTTATCAACCTAATATTTCCTCTGATAGAAGCCCACCCAAACCATCAACTTTGAGCTCGATAATCTCGATTCCTGTGAAAGGTATGGAAAATTTGTCAACTGATAAAGTATTTGTGATCTTATGATAAATGATTTATCAGTTGACATACTTTCGATATCTTTCACAGGAATTGAGATAATTGAGCTCAAAGTTGACGGTTTCATCAATTTTCGCTGCAGTACTTCTAAAATAAAATTATTCAACCTCACTATCGGTATCTTCAAAATTTTTCAGCATTCCATGCTGGAAAGTTATTTCCCACTGACAGTGCTTCCATTGAAATTTGACGAAAACCCAAAAGATCATCAAAGAATATACTATTCAGAAAAGAGTGTTCTCAGAATGTTTAGTAAGTTTTCATTATGTTTTTATTCTGATAATGTCTATGTCATCAGGTAGCTCTGGATATATCTCCAGCAACTCCTCATTTCCTTCTATTTTTGGATTGGCCTCTCCGGATACAGATTGTGAAGTAATTGACACTTTGTGTCCGCAGTTGACTCAAGTATTCCATGTTTCTGTTAACGGATCGCCTCGTCTAGTCAGTTGGAGTGACTTAAAGGACAACGAGACTGCTGAAATAATAGAAGAAGCTGGCTATGTTGGATCATGGCCTGGATACTGTGGAACTACTGATGGAGCACTCGTTGAAATGTTTTCTCCAATTTTGAAACAATTCAGATACGCTTCATCGAATGAGGATATTCTGAAAGCAAGATGGAATGAGGATAGACAATTTTGGCGTCCCACAAAAATTATTGGTTATTTGTTCAATGCAACAGTTCCACATAGAACAATGTAGGTTTTCTGGGATTAAGAGTTTTCTGGGATTGCCGTACGGGTCCCACGACGACAACTACCGTAACCCAAAAACATTTTATTTTCAAAGTATTTTCTCGATTTTTTCGAATACTCTTCCAGTCAAGTGTTTCACAATAGAAAATATCAATTTTCCGGAGGACAGAACAAAAAAAAGACAAAAAGCAAACAAGAAAACCAATCCTGAAAAGAAAAATATTTTTAGTTTACTGTAGTTGTCGTTGTGGAACCTTCAGCTATGGCCACCGGCGTTTCACTTCCACAGCTCCGATTTTCCTGTACAAGAATAATAGTAATACGGTAAAACCTGTACTAGAAGGGCCCCCTTCTAAATGTGTTGTTTGAGATTGAAAACTCTCATTTCAGCCATTACCCATTCAATGCTATTAAACCATACGAAAATGTGGTATTTGTAAGTATCTTCTATTTTCCAGAACTCGTTATCGTAATCTTATTCCAGAACAAAATTCTTCTACGACTCCGTCCCATAATTCGGGTCAAAAATTCAGCTGGACTTGTTGCTTTCACCACATCTTTCCGTGATAATGGTTATCTAAAACAGTATAAATTCGACAAAGTTTACAACATTTCGTTGATTGATCAAACGACAAATGTTGCTGTAATTTCGGATGCATGTGGAAAAATGACACTGATTTATGAGTTTTTCAATCCAATTACAACGACATATCGATTGAAATTGAGAGATGATGATCCAAATGAAGAGGTTCTCATTATTCACTCTACTTTAAATGTTACGGCAATTTTCAGATGGTTAAAAGAGCCGGATATGTGTTCCGCGAGGAATCATCTGCTCGGCGGTGTCTTGGTGATATTCAGCCCATCTATGAATTCCAAAACCCGGAGAAGCAATCGGATATTCATTATTCTTCATCTCCAGAAGAAGTCGCCGAGTACACTAATACGAAAAAATGGACGAATCTTGGTCTAATGGGTTTCACTAGCTGGGGTAATTTTGCATTTGCAAAGCGTTGAACAGTTGTTTTGAATGAAGCATTTCATTAATAATTATACAGAGAGTAATAACACAAGACAGGCAATTGAGAATAAATCATGAAAATAATCATTGGATTTAAGGAATACAAAAGCGATGGTGGGGAGGTGAAGGTTCATAGAATCAAGAGGTTGACATCTGTAATT